TACTCAGAAACATTTGTCGTTTGCCTCATCACAGCACTGGGAAGTTGGGTGTCGGAAAGGGCAGGTGAGTTAGGAATGCTGTTTCCTAGAGAAAGAAATGAGGCCAAGGGCAGCAGCTCCTTGGCCCGGGGTCACAAAGCCAGGAAGCCTGTGCCTCTGGGCCAGAACGGAGGTCTTCTGCCTGCTTCGCTGCGTGATGTGGAGAAACTGGTCCCTTCTGTGGTCTCAGTCTTTGCTTCTGAGCAACGGAGCTCAGACACCGAGTAGAACTGGGGAGTCCTGTCCAGCCCACCCGACAGACACGCGAGGCCCCAGACAAGGTCAGATGCCTGAGTCTCACTGGAAGTGGTCAGGAATGGCTGCATTTGGTCTGAGCTCGCTTTAGCTCCAGCTGTCTGGCTCCCTGTACTGGGACTGCCCCCCACACCCCTGCCCCTTGTGATTTGTCCCACAGCTCCTTACTTATTCTTCTATGATGCCCCATGCAACTACTGTGTGCCTGCTCTGTGCCCAGGCCCGCACTCTGAGTGGGAGAATATAGAGATTGAGAGAAGAGGTCCTGCTTTGGAGGGCTTACAATCTACTAGGCAGAACTGAGTGTCAAAAACAAACGTATCAAAGGGTTTTATGTGCTATAGTCACGAAGGCTTAGAGGAAGGAGGTGTTCTTGGCATGGAGTCCTAAGTGGTGTAACTCATCCACTATGCCATTCTCTAGAGAGTCCACTCCTGGGAGAAGCAGCCCCGAGTCGACTGAACGACTTAGGCGCGTATGTCGTGTGGGGCCGCGGTGATCCCCATGCAGGTCGCCTGCTGCCCAGCTGAGGGGGGCACGTGGAGGCTGGAATGCAGCCTCTTTGCTCGTGAGAGCTGTGCGCCAGGTGCCCAGAGGAGGACGCGTGACGTTCTGATTCAGACGGGGGCATCGTCCGGGCCGGTAGTGGCTCTTGCTACCACTTTATAGTTCGACAGCTTCCCTCGCATGGGCATCTCACCTGTCACCCTCAGCAACTACAGGCGGTGTGGCAAAGGATGAGCAAAGTCCGGTCCAGAGGAGTTCAGTGACTTGCTCAGGATCACAATGGGAGTGAGGGGAGCCCAAGACCTCTGTGCTGCTTTCGTCTTCCTCGCGTCTGGCTGGCCGTAGGGTTCCTGAAGGCTCTCTGCCATCAGCGGAGGCTGCTCCCATCTCCCCAGGGTGGTATCAGGCATGAAATCTCTCTGGAGCATTGGAAGAAGCACCAAGATCTCTGGAGTGCAGGCGTCGAGAGGAGCCAAGCGTTTGAGCACTGCCTGGCCCTCTGGCCCGGCTGCACACCTCACTGCAGCTAATGAATTTGCTAATACAATTTTCTAGATAATTTTATTTCCATAGTCCCACATTTTAATGTGTTTCCAAAAGCTAGCATTTATTTGCTTAATCTCCCAGTGTAATAGAATCTGCCTTGACTCATCATACATGCGAACAATCAGCTAGGCAGAAACTACAGCAAATTGTTTAATAACTCAAATCTAGTCTCTAGGTTTTTAGCTTCCATGCACCAGCGGCTTCTCTTGGGGCTCCTCCGCCCCCCGCCCCCACCCACGCCACCTCTTCCCTTTTTTTTTCTTTTTAAATTGTTTTCCATCTTCTCAGCTGTCGGTCTCTAAACAGAAGGAAGGGGAGAGTGGATATGGGCACTTGAGGCCCCTTCTCTTCCCCTCTGCACTCCGGCCAGTGTTACCAGCGGGCCAAGGAGAGCCCTGAGCCTTGTGAGATGTCCCAGGAGGGGGAGAGGGACCGTTGCAGGGACACTGCAGCCTTTCCTTCCCAAGAGGTGATTATGGAACTTGGAACCTGCCAGAGCTGGCCGTCCGGGACTGCAGGTGTGCACCACGCTTCCCAACTCGAGCCCGTAGCCCAGTCAGGTCCCCACCTGCTTCCAGTGGTGCCCAAAAAGCCATCAGCTCTTTCCCAGCTTCCAGTCACTGGCCGCTGCTCTTGGGCCCCACGCGACCCTAGGGGCATTGTCCTCGCATACAGGTTGGGTCACGCTGGCACCCCACCCCCATCCTTCCCTGGCCTCACACAGCCTGTAGCATGACGTGTGGTCTGTCCCACCGGGCGATGTGGCCCCAGTGATCTGACCCCCCACTAACGTCCCCTGCTCGTCTCCATCCTCAGGGTCTCCTGTGTCTCTGCCTGATCTGAAATTTGCTTGCGGGGTTTCCTTACTGAGCCTGCCCCCTGTACCCCTTCTCCCACTCCTTGGCTTCTTCATGCCCTTCGTTTCTCACAGCCAAGGTTTTCATGGGGTCTCCCTGTCTTGTCCCCTAGTGGGCCATCGACCTGTCTGGGAACTAGTCTGGGGCCCTATTCATGTGGTTAAACTCAGCGTTCCCCTCATCACCTAGCACAGTGCCTATGCTTAGTACTGTGCATGGAGTGTGCCGGCACTCAGGGGGTTCAGACCATCCTGAGAAGTATGGATGGCCTAGCTCTGAGGAGCCTGCAGAAGACCAAGGGGCAGAGAGCTGCGGTGTCCTCAGTCAGCTCTGCGAGGTGGTACCAGCCCTTGGGACTCCTCTGGGCCTGGCTTTTCGGGCTGGGGGTGTTCTACTGGGTGGGAATGTCACGGTCCCTCTGCCCCAGGCACTTTCCACAACCAGGGATTTCAGGGGGTGCTGGAGAAGTATGGGCCGCTGAGGGCATGGCTTGCCCTCGAGCCCTGCTCCAGCTGACCAGTTTCAGGTAGCTGTTTGACATCTGGCTTAAGTGGGGCTGATGCTGGGGGCCCTGGGGACGAATCAGCCAGGGAAGCTGTGTCACCGCACACACTGCGGATGGACTGCCCTCCCCCCAAACCCCGGGCGAGTTCACCTGCTGGGTGGACACCGGGTGCTCGCTGTCACCTTCTGCCCCGAAGAGCCCGCCCACAAGGCCAGTGTTGCCAAGCACCCCAGCACCTCCTGGGAGGTCGGAGGCTTCAGAGAGCTGGACCTGTGATTCAGCTTGCCATCCCCTCCCGCTGGCCCGGGTTTCCTCACCATTGCCGAGGCGGGTCCCGCATGCCCGGGGGCTCCTGGACCAAGCTGGGTTAGAGCTGGCATGCTGGCATCTCCACTGTCACCTTCCCAGAGAAGCCCGGACACACAGATGGCATGCCCAGAAGGCACAGGCCCAGCCCTGCGCTTTCTAAACTCAGACGGACCTAGGTGCTTTCACATCCCAGCTCTGCCTCTTCGGACTACATGACCCTAGGCCAGTTATTTAACTGCTCTGTTTTCCCATTTGTAAAAAAAAAAAGAGGGAGGGGAACACCTGCCTGGTGGGGTTCGTTGCAGGTTGTCAATGAGATAGCAGCGTGGGTCCACGGCCGGCACAAGGCCTGCGTTCGTTCCTTTCCCTGTGCGCACTGAGGCCAGGAGCGAACCCGCACTCCTGCGTTGTGCTCAGCCATCCCTGGACGTGGATGCAGGCAGCGGCTGCGCGCCTCTGCAGGGGTGGCTGCGAAGGGAGGGAGGGTCTGGCCTTCCCGCTAGTTCTTCTTAAACCCAACCACGAATGGGACTGAGGCGGTGAGAACAGACCCCCTCTTTGCTGTCTCGGGGGATCCGGGAGGCAGCAAGGTCCTCATGCTGTCCTTCTCGTCACCCCCGTTTCTACCTGGAGCTCCCCCTCCTCCCCTCTGGGCAGGGTTGACGGACGCTAGGCCTGTCTACCTTTTCCCATTGTGTCCTTCGCAGAGGGCAGGGTGATGCAGGGCTGTGCAGGGGGGGTATCACCCAGATGCCAGCGAGAGGGGAGAGATGCGCTTCCCGGGGGAGCTGATGTGCTTAGGGAAACCAGATCCAAGATGGTGGGCAGGGCGCCGCCGGTTAGGATTCAGATGGGGGGGTCTAGATGCTTCCTCATGGGCTGCTGGACCTAGAACGGCTACGGCTCAGAGCAGGTTGATCAGAAAGTGGGCCGATAACAAATGGAAAAAGGGAGCCTGTTGTGCAGGGTGCCATAACTCACGTGTGCTTCTGATCAGTGCAGGGAATGACCAGACAGAATGAAATGAAAATCTCAGGCCACTCATTAGCATAAAGTCCTTCGACAGCTGCCCATTGGTCTTGGGATGTGGTTTAAACATCTTCACATGGTTTTCAAGACCCCACGTGACCTGCACCCTGCCTGCTTGTGTGGCCTCCCACCCTGCACTGTCTCCCCATCTCCCCAGCTGTGCCGTTCGTCACTCTGATCCTCCGATCAGCTACGTTTCTTTCCAGGCCGGCGTGTTCAGGGATGCTCTCCCCTGCTGGCCCAGTGTGCTTGGGTGCCATTGCCAATGACAGCAGAGACTTTGACTAGTTTTCCATGGTTACTCCCCAGTGCCCAAAAGAGAGTCCTCCTTATAGAAGGTACTAGAGTAATATTTGTTGAATGAATGGACTCTCAAGAAATGAAGGGAAGAGAGAGCTGGGTAAAAGAATAGGGTCTGTAGCTATTCTCCAGAGAGGATTCAGACCCAGGCAGCCCATGTTTGAACTATATCTCTGCAGCTTCTGAACCCTGGCGGGGCCTTCGGACTAGTTGCTTGGTCTCCCTCTGTGCCTCATTTGCCTTGTCTGAAGGGTGAGGTGGTAGAGATGTGACTGTAAACCAGTTAACATTCGAGCAGTGGCTTGGGCACCTGCTGTCTTCATTACTGTGATTCCTCACAGAGGCCACCCTGCCTTTGACACCGCGCCCCCCCATAGCCGCTGACTCACATTTGTTGTAGCAACGCATCTGATCCTCTCCTTCTCCCACTAGACTCTATGTTCCGTGAGGGGAGTGGTACCTTGATGTCGTCTGAGTTGGAGCCACACACTGGGCGCCCCACCAATGCTGGGCTTGCCCTTGGGTTTGCCGCTGAGCTTGGGGGATCGGAGGCACTGGCCCTGACCCTGGCCCTTGCTCTCGTCTGGACGAGTGAAGAGTGAATGGCCTGGCACTCCACGCCCTGAGGCTCTCCCCGCTCCTGTCTCCCACAGGCACGGACATGGCCGTCTTCTGTCTGCTGTGCGGGAAGCGTTTCCAGGCGCAGAGCGCGCTCCAGCAGCACATGGAGGTGCACGCGGGTGTTCGCAGCTACATCTGCAGCGAGTGCAACCGCACCTTCCCCAGCCACACGGCCCTCAAACGCCACCTGCGCTCACACACAGGTAGGCCCTTCCAGGCAGTGGGTGGATGATCGGGGTCTCCGGGAATACAGGTCTGCATTTACCTCCCAAACTGTAGAGTGGAGACATGCGGCTGAGGCGGTCCTCGGCCCTTCTTGGTTCAAGGTGAGCAGTGCAGGGGCTTCCGCAGGGCAGGTGAATGCTGTTCATTCTTCTCCCCATCCCACTTGTGGGTCTGTGGGTCCCAGTCTCTCTGTGCTCCACGCAGCAGGTACTCATTTGAGATGTGGGCTCTTGGGTCCCCACCCTCGGGAACTTGGATCCACGACTCCGCATCTTTAATACATATTCTCAAAAGACTGATGCAGATGGTCCCAAAACGTGTTTTGAGGAAAAAACAAAAAACAAAACAAAACAAAACTGCTTGGTCTCAATGTCTGCCACAGCCACCACCCCATGGACACACACTCCCTGAAGTCTGCCTCGGGCTCCCCAGGGATTGTTACAAAAGTGGCCCTGCTGGCTCTAAGACAACAAGCAAATTTTCTATACTTGACTCTTAACCTTGTGTCCTGGAGACAAGGAGGGTTTATAAACAATGAGCCAGATGACGGGAGAGGAAAGTAGCTGTGAGTCGGGGGCTGGGCCGTGTGCCCCACCCTCTTGAGGGCCAAGGGGTGGGTTGATCCCCCAACAAGCTAATGGGTGACATAAATTCATTCCTTCCTCCGTGACAAAATTGGGTCCTTCCTGACTGTCCGTGGATAAAGGAGTGTCCCTATCTGAGTCGGCACGCATCTCTGCTTGCATGTGCTCTGTCCTGGGTTTGGACGGGAGTGGGGGATAGGGTGGGGCCCAGGAGACAGGCTCTATATCGGGGTGTATAACGGGGTGTATGGTCACGTCTGTTGGAGGCATAGAAAAAGCTATGTGCTTCAAGACAGGAACGTAGGACCCTCTCTCTCCTCATTCTTGGGTCTTGTCGCAGCTCTGGGCTTAAGTATGCAGGCCAGGCCTCTCGTGGGCGGGTGGCGGGCTCTGCTGAATGAGGGAGGGGCTTTACTTGTTCTGGACGGAGCAGGCCCATCCTGCCGGGAGTATGCATCCTCATCAAAGAGCCCCCAGCCCGCGCTTTTTGATGCCATTCACTTCAGAAGAGCGTACTGTTTTAACGTCACTTGATTTGCTTCCAACTACTCAGGTTTGTTGGCGTAGGACAGGAAGGTAGGTGCCCGCAAGGAGTGCCAAGGGGGAGGGAATATCAACGAGGACTTTCTCTAGTGACTGCATAAGCATCCCCTGGGGTATAGGCACCAGCCTGTCCACACCTCCCCCACTGGGTCCCCAAGCTCAGCCTAAATTCACAAAGTGGCCAGTTCCCTCTCAACCACTTCAAAGCATGCTGCTGGGTCAAACCAGTGTGGGCTTCATGGGGCTTGGACGGTCCCAGCCCTTTCAAGTCCCACCCAGGATGTGCCCCGCTCTGCCCGCGCTCCTTCTGAGAGTGCAGACATCAGAATGTCACCTGCGCCTGTGTCCATCAGGCACAGATCTGGGGGGAGGGGCCACCCCAGACAGTTTGGGGGAAGTAACTTGCTTAATCTAGGAAGCATGGGGCATGTATGCTGCCCACGCCTGCACGCGCACACGCAGACACCCATCCATCTTCACACCAGCGAGGCCCTGTGCACACAGGCCGTGTGTACACAGGCCGAATACACCCCCCCCCCACACACACACAATGCCTCATTAATATTCCGTTGTTCTTGGCCTCGTTGCTGCTGGGGCCGGGTGTTTAGCATCGGCAGCTGTGTTTGGTAGGTTAGTCCAGCCGCGCTCTTGGCATTGATGGATCCCTGATTCACACGGCTCATCATGTAATAAACTCTCAGCTGTGCTGAAGGGAGGGGCCGCCAGGGAGGGCCCGAAGGAGCCGCTGGGATGGGGCCGGGCCCGTGCCAGTGAAGCCACTAGGTAAGGACAGGCCGCTGGGGTCACAGATGCACCAGGCAGGCCAGAGGGGCTCTAATTAGTCTCGTTTGTCCTGCACTTAATGTCAAGCTCATTAAAGAGGCTACAGAGTTAATCAACGTACCACAAATTGGATTTTGAGTTCTGCAGCCAGTTTTGTGTACATTATGGCAACACTGACACCACTAACTCTCAGGGTGAGGATTTCAGGCCAGGTGCTCGCCATGCTTCAGAGTGTGCGTACGTGTGTGTGCGCGTGCACACGTGTGCCTTTTTCCTTCTAAGTTCCTCTCCACTCCTTTCCCTGGAAATTTCAGAGACTCTGACTCTGGAGATTTCCTATTTAAACTCATTTAACATGTGATCCACTTCATAATTAAATTCATAAAAATCTGATCAAACAAACGTCTCTGCCTTAACCCTTTGTTTTTTAAACTCTCAGGGTCCCCCTCTGGAGGGGAAGGCACAGACGGCGGCTCCCCCCTCCTCCCCCGGCCGGGTGGCTGCCGATGTACGTTTTAATTACCGGCTCTCGCTGAAGTCTCACGTGGCCCTTGCTTTATTTATTTATTTATATCTTAATGAGGATACTGAATCCTTGATTAAAGTCGTTATCGTTGCCAATTCGGCAGGGAGGGGGAGTCGGATGTCAGACGGCGGGGGGTGGCTGTGTGTGCAGACGTCTGCACGGGGAGAGAGGCAGGCGGGCCTGGCCCTGCACAGACCAACCCTCATCCCGACAGACACGCAACCAATTAGGACCGGGGTGCGCACGGACCTCTGCTCCCCTTGGCTTTGGTGGGGCTGGTGGCTGGGGACCGGGTGGTCTGCACAAGCCTGGCGGCCAGAGGGCGGGCAGGTGCCCAGAACCCCAGGAATCGGCCCATGCCCAGATCTGCGCGCACCCCTGAGCCGGGCCCAGGCCCTGCGGATTGGGAAGCACCAGTGTCGAGGGCTGGCTCCGCTCCTGCGCCTTCTCCCGTCCGACGCCTCGTGGGAGCGCCCCCACCCTCCCCCTCGACGACTTCTTGTAGGGAAAGAGCCTGCTGTGAGCAGACCCCAGCATCCACTCCCCACAGAGCCCTAAAAACCCTTCAGAGCCATCAGACGAGATGAGAATTTATGTGGGCGCGGGGGCCGGTGTTAGAGAGGGGCGGGGGGTTGGTTAGCGGCCTGAGGAAGAAAGAGACAAGAGAGTAAAATATCATTTTAAAGAGGAAGTGAAGGCACAGGCATGCAAGTCTATAACGAGGAGGGCAATTTATGCCCAGGCACGAGTGCGGTTTGACATGGGGATAATGAAAAAACGTAGGTCATTGTGGATGACTTAAACCTTCAGCAGCTGAAGAAAATGTATGAAATGCGGAGGACATTACACGGTTGGCAGCCTCCCGCATCTGCAGAGGGACAAGTGAAATACAGTGGGCCATTCTTTACCATAAACTGTGGTTGTTGGCGATGCAGCCCAGAGAAATTGTAATTACAGTGACAAGACGAATCAGCGATATTTAAATATTCATGAACAAAGTCTGGGGTGATCAATCTATCTTTATTGTCTGTGCCTTCACTCCTGTAATAAATAAGTAGCTGAAGTCCTCACCTTTCAGCCCCCGGAGCCCCCACTTCGGGTGGTACGGGGGCGAAAGATGGTGCATCCCCACGCCCCGGCCTCTCGGCCTCCAGGGGACTGAGGAGTGGAAAGTCCAGGAAAGGAGGCTGATTGGGTACGGATTCGAGGCCGAGGATGGCAGATTTCCCCGCCGGGTGGAGAGAGCTGGTTCAGCTTCACCTACCCACCATCTCCCGAGCGTCCGTCGTCAGCTCGGGGAGTCCCAGGTCTGCGTCCCGAGGCAACAGGGATGCCCCAGACTCCCTTCTTACTCTGGAAGGGATTCCGTCCCCAAGGTGCCGGCGGCATCACGAGAGATCCAGTGCAGCATGTCACTTAGCGGTCCGATGAGTGTCGCGGGTCCACACTCTTGGAACCAGGTCTGGATCCCAGACTCAGCCTCTCACAAGCTGTCTGGCCTCAGAGACCATCCATCTCCCAGCCTCCCATTCTTCTCTGTCCAGTGAAAATCCTGTGTCTCTTGTCAGGTTATTGCAGTGGTGACATGATACCAGGCGTGTGATGTTCTTAGCACGGGAGTGAGCCCTTCACAGATCGGACCGTTTCGGTTAGAAAGCGCCATAAAAATTGTACCGCTGCTAAAATAACAAAGTGCTAGACATTTCTTCTCTTTTGGGGATAGAAGAAGGTGACTCAGTTTGCCTGGAGGGGGATAGCTGCAGGGAATCTTCCATACCATGGTGATGCATGAGCTGGGCTTTGAAGGATGACGAGGAGTTTGCTGGGGAGAAAAGAGGAAATCAAACAGAGTATAGGTGCTGAGACTGAGGAGGAGGGAGACAGCAGAAAGCATTTTGGTTGGGGGTGGGGGGACAATGTGACCTAGCTGTTCCTCAAATTGGAGGGATTTTTTTTTTTTTTTTTGAGGAGAAGGGAGTCAGTCGGGCTAAAATGGCTCTTGCCCCTGACCTATATAGGAAAGGAAGAGAAGGGAACATGAGGAGCATTTCAAAGCCCACAAGTCTGCTTCCCCTTTGTGGGGGCCTGCCTTCTGAACTGCCTTCTGATGATTGCTGTTCATCCCTGGACCAAACGGGCTCTCTCTTCCTGAGACTGGCCCCTGACCAATGGGCAGCCGAGGGGCCACAGTAAAGTACGGATATGTGTGAACACACTGTTCACATTGGGGGCCGGAGGGGGCCACGGGTGCTTCCGCGGTCTTCGGAGAATGCTGGTGAATGCAGGCAGTCTCCCTGGTGCACTGAACGTGGCATGTCAACTCCTAAAGAGAGGGCAGAAAGAGGCAGGGCCCTGATCCAGCCCCTTGTCCCCACAGGCGACCACCCCTACGAGTGTGAGTTCTGTGGCAGCTGCTTCCGGGATGAGAGCACGCTCAAGAGCCACAAACGCATCCACACGGGCGAGAAGCCCTACGAGTGCAATGGCTGCGGCAAGAAGTTCAGCCTCAAGCACCAGCTGGAGACGCACTATAGGGTGCACACAGGTACCGAAGACGGGTGAGGGCACCTGAGCTGGGGCAGGGACCCGGGGGACAGGGAGGGGGCAGGTGGCTGTCCAGGGCAGCTGGGTGAGGATGGTCCGAGGCTTACCCCAAGACTGGAACGTGGCTCTGGTGAAGGTTAGCACGGTGGCCCAGGCGCCAGTGCCTGGGTCAAGGCCGAGGCAGACGTCACTAGTCGATCACAGCACGCTCTCCAGGGGCCCAGACTGGCCTTCCAGGCAGCAGTACCAACGGCTTGCGGATGCCGTGCAAGATGGCGTCTGTTTGTGAGGCCTGATTTGGGGCCCAGTTGGCCTGCTTACTGGAAAGTAGAGGCTGGGATGGTTTCTTGTTACTGGGGGGTGGGGCACTGAGTCTGGTTAGGATGAGGGCTGGGTCACTGTTGGATTGAGTTCCTCTCAGAGATCAGAGGGTATTTACCAACCCCTCTTCATGTAAAACGTTTTAACATCTCGCAGGGCCTTCATGTTCCTTTTTACGTAACAATCAGAGGTGGGGTCTGAGGACAGAATGAGTGGACATGGCCCTGGGGTCCAGAATTGCCAGATTTGGGGGCAGTGGAAGGCTGGAGCTGACCTGCACCAGCCCGTGAAAGCCCATCTTGCACATCTGTTCCCAAGTGCAGTGACATTACCTCGGGTGCTTATAAGCAGCCGGGGTTGGAGTGGTCCCAACATGGCCATGGGCAGTCGCTACAAAGTCGAGGCTTTTAGCAGAGCCGATTGTTAGCCGTTGACCAGCAGCACACTGCAGGCTGAGGGGAAGGTGGATATTTCGAAGGACTTCCCATGAGGATACAAGGTAGTGGAAGGTGGTGGAATCTGGTAAACTTGGAAGCCTCTTTTGATCAGGGGAAGCAGCCGTCCTGACTGGAAGACAGGGCAGAGGTGACTGCAGACAGGGCGTGCTGGCCAAGGGGAGAGTATGCTTCTGTGGGTGGGGCACGGGAGAAAGGAGGCGACAAGGAGAGGACACGTGCTGTCATAGCCGTGCGTTCTCACCTCCAGCCTGGGCCACAGGGAGAGCCTCAGGTGGGGTGCTTGCTGCTGACAGTTCGAGTCCCTCCCAGCATTTTCCAGAGCCCTGGGGCTTCCTTAGCCCCCTGCTGAGGATGTGACCTGGTGAGCGGATCATTAAATGCATTGGTGGTGACTATTGTAAATAGCAGGTCGATAGTTAGATCACTTTGGCTGTTCATTACTTCATTATTTGCTGGGGCCTCTGCACAGAGGAGTATCGATAGTGAGATGGCTGGTCAGTTAATTACTGTATCGAAACAGGGTTCCCTCACACCCTCTGCTCAGCTCCAGGGGACTCTAATCGGGAGGAGGCTGGGCAGCAGCTAGGGCACTCCCAGGCTCTCTGTCCCTCCGACCGCTCTAGCCCCACTGGGAAGGCAGGGTCCAGGGCATCTGCTTGGAGCCTTAGAGGAGTGGGCGTCCCAAATGGAGCACATTTGAAGGACAGGATTCCCTCACTTTCATCCCCCTCCCCCCTACCAACTATAGCCTCGAAAGGACTCTACTACCTTGTTCCCCTGGAAGGAACATCCCCAAGGACTTTGAGGGCCTCACTGCTCCTTCTCTAGACCTCCATGCCCTTTCTTCGGAAGGGAAGATTCTGGGCCTTTGGGAGGGCTAAGCAGAATAAGGCGGCACTAAGGGTGTGCTTAGCAACAGAGCAGCCCCTCGCTACATGTGGCTGGTGAACTGAGCAACCGTGGAGTCCCTCTGAGCCACTGAGCATGCAGTTCTAGAGGCACTAGCCATGCTTCAGGTGCTCAGTAGCTCTCTGTGGCCAGTGGCTACCATATTGGATGGTGTATCCACACTTCAGGTGCTCAGTAGCTCTCTGTGGCCAATGGCTAACATATTGAATGATGGATCCATGCTTCAGGTGCTCAGTAGTTCCTTGTGGCCAATGGCTACCATATTGGATGGTGTATCTGTCATCGCAGAAAGTTCTAGTGGGAGGTGCTAAGCTAGAGGGGCCAAAGTCTCCAGAAAGCCTGGCTGTGGAGCGAGGGCCCAGAGCAGCCCTGTGGAGACCCTCACGGCCCTTTCCCTGTGTCCCGGCTCTCTCCCGCCCTCCCCCCACAGGTGAGAAGCCCTTCGAGTGTAAGCTGTGTCACCAGCGCTCCCGGGACTACTCGGCCATGATTAAGCACCTGCGCACGCACAACGGCGCCTCCCCCTACCAGTGCACCATCTGCACGGAGTACTGCCCCAGCCTCTCCTCTATGCAGAAGCACATGAAGGGCCACAAGCCTGAGGAGATCCCGCCCGACTGGAGGATAGAGAAGACGTACCTCTACCTGTGTTACGTGTGAAGCGAGACCGCGGCAGTGGCGGGGGAGCGGGCAGCCGGGAGAGAAGTTAGAGCAGGATGAAGTCGAGGAAGGACTGTGGAAAAAAAAAAAAAAAAAGAAAAAAAAGGAAATAGAAAAAAAGGAAAAAAAAAGGGAGAGAGAGAAGAAAAAGGAAACCTGGTGGCTGTCTGGCCTCGGACTCTCTCTGGGGGCCCAAGTGACCTGGATGCCCGGACACCACCCCTCCCCGGGGGCCTCTGTCCCTCCTCCCTGGCTGGAGGTCGGCTTCATTTTCTTGGGTTGGGTTGGGCATGGTTTGTTTAGCTCACTTGGTGGTTATTTTTCTCTTCCCTCCACCCAGACCCTCCTTTTGCATCCAGAAGTGGAGGCTAGGGAGGGAGTGAGGGGTCCTGCGGTCAGAGGCAAACAATCTTTGCCTGCTGCCCACCTCAGAGGGAGGGGGCCCGCAGGTGGTGAGGCTGGGCCGGGTCACGGTCACTAGTCGATGGTCACATGGCAGCTCGGGTTTGCTGGGGGCACAGTGGGGTGGGAGGGGCTCCCTTTCCCTCCCCACCACTCAGTTCATCTGTTGCCTCCCCCACAGCTCTGCCACACGGGGTGTCCCCTCGCGGTATTCAGTAGCCTCATGGCTCTTGCCCCTCCCCCAGCTCCTTGTTCCCTGCCTCCGAGAGGCCCCTCCCAAGTGCAGGGGTGCCCAGCCCCTCATGCATCAGGTGGCGCCTTCCTCCTGGCTTAGCTCCCTAGCTGGGAAGCTGCATTGGATTCCAGAGCCCCCGCCCCACCCCACCCTCCGCTTTCTGAGAACACAAAATAAATGGAGAGCCCCACCGTCGTCAAGCCCCGTCATGAGCGAGGTTCCTGCTGAGCTGCTTTCGCTTCCAAAATGGGAAAACATAACTAACCATATACTTACTGTCCCACCAAGCAAACCCACACCGGTCCCGGCCACCCGTTTCAGTCCCTAGGAGAAGGCGTCCATGAAAGGGCTCGTTGTCCGAGGGAAGGATGTGCCCAGATGTGCCCTATGCCTGGAGAAGGGGACGTCCTGCCCAGGGGTCGGGCCAGCTGGCTGGGGGGTGAGGACCCCAGTCCTGGTGCAGAGAGCAGCACAGAGTTCCTGGCTCTCAGGGCAACCCCCCCACCCATAGTCCACAGGGAGGAGGAAAGAGAGGAGGAAGAGGAGTTGAAAGCGCTTTGGCCCTTGTGTTAATGTTTTACTTCTTTTCTATGTCCCCTGTTCCCTTGTTAGCACATTGTACTTGAATTACCTCAGTTTTTTGTGACCTCATGAGCTTTTTTAACCCCTGTATCTTTTTTTGGCTGGGGGTTGGAGGAATGGGGAGGACATTTCTTTTCTGTTTCTTGTATGAATTAATAGTTGGTTTAATAGACTTCAGCTGGCCACGGCTCTTTGCCATCCCAGCTGGACGGAGCTGGACGGACGGAGCGAAGTACTCAGGATCTGAACGTGAGAGCCGGGGTCGGCGGAAGGTGGGCGGACGGGAGGGTGTGTCGGGGGCACTCTGGAGTCACCGTTGGCTCTGCCCAGGGCCCCCGGAGTCCTCTGCGCCCAGCAAGGCTTTAGCCTACAGCACTCTGGAGACGATCCTACCTTTAGAATTTGCTGGCTCCTTTGGGTCTGGGGGCCCATCTTATTCAGATCCCTGCAACCGTGTGGCCCCACCTCTGTGTGCGTTACCGTTGCCAAAATGGGTCTCTTTTGCAGGGCTGGTGTGGGGACGAGCCAGCCTCCGTTCTGTTGCGTTAGGGTAGGGGTGTTGTTTTTCTAAAAGCTACCTCTTATGTTCTTCTGGTTCTTCTTCTGTTCCCTTCCTGCCTCCCTTTCTGCTGCTCTGTTTGCCTCCTTCCCCCCAGCTGCCCCACCCTGAATTCTGGAAAGCACGTTTGCAATATTTGGTTCGCTTTGGGATGGGCCCTCCGTTTCATCTCACGCTTTATTTGTAAGAGTTTTGTTTCTTTTTTTCTTTCCTTTCTCTCCGAGAAAGTTGTGGCTGCGTTTTTATCTTAGGGTTTTAAAAGTGATTTCGGGGAAGCGGTTTTGGGGAGAAGAGTTGTGAGGGCGATGGGGAAGTCCGAGGGATGGGTGCTGCTGTGACCACCCCCCCTCCCTCGGGCCCCATCCTTCCTCGCCCTCCCCTGCAATCTCGCCCGCCAAATCTGAAGGCCTTAAAAATTGTGTGTTGGGGGTTCTGAACTTGGGGGGACTGTGTCACTGGACTGTCGGTCGGGGATGATAAGGTAGGAGGATGCTGTTTTGCAATTGTAATAATGACCTAGTGCTTTGGAAAGGACAAAAGGTAAACTTGAACTATGTGACTAGAGAAGTTGTGTTGATAATGTGAAAAGAGGGGCATCAGCTGGGGGAGGGACGGTCTGTAAGAAATGTGTATGCACTATGCTTCCTCCCCTAGCCTGGGAAGAAGGGGCGCTGCGGCCCTCAGGGGGTCTCTAAACCCCCAAAACGGTATTTTAACAGTGAGCTCTCACGCAACTTCAGTGGGGAAGGAAAAAAAAAAAAACTATTCCATAGACCTAGCTGACACCTCTCACTGGCGCCCACCCTTCCCACGCAGCCTGGGTCTCCTGCCCTGTTCATAAACGCTGAGAGGGTTGAGCTAATATTTACAAATTGTAATATTTTTGTAATGTTTGTTAGTTCCTTCGTCAGTTCTACAGGACCTTGCCCTTTCCTTTTGTAATGTGAATAGGAAAGAAAAAAGACAAAAAAAAAAAAAAATCCACCACCACCACCACCAAAATATCCCTCTGTGTGTGTGTGTGCTTGTGTGTGTGTGCGTGTGCTTTTTGTGTGTGCTTGTGTGTTCAATCATGCAGTATTGTAATCTGGTGTTGCAGCATCGGACGGTACTAAGTGAGCACCTGTCTTCCCCTGCCGTCCCTGAGGGACCCTAGTGGGGAAGTGAGGAAGGGGGGGGGGTTCTGAAGGATACTGAGTGGAGACGCCCATGTTGACTTTGCTCTCCCCACCCCCACGAAGCCTCGACACCCGAATAGAGGCCAACATGCCTCTCTGCTAGGTTCCTACTCACAAAGACGAAATAATTCTGACCTTGCCAAGGCGAAGGTCAAAAATTATCTGGAGTCTTTAGATGTGTAAAGGGGGCTGGGGAGACCGGGACGGCAGAGGGTGCCATCTCCCCAGGTGAGAGCTGAGTGCTCGCTCTTCCCCCTTTCATTCTGCCATCTGGCCCCTTGGCCACCTGCTGCCTTTCGCTGTGATACCGCTGATGACCGTCCTGCTACTGCCTTACCCAGCATAGCGAAACTTCCAGCCGGGAAAGTCCGAGCTGCTTCACGGTCCCTTCCTAGTGTTCAGCTCCTACAGGCGTGTCCCTTAGTGCTTTTGGTGACATTTACCCATCATGTGCTCTTTCCCTATTCACTCCTTCACTCATTCAAAGCATTAAAATCCTATGTGTATATAGGATAGACAAATATATAGATATATATATATATAGCCAGAGAGAGATATAAAATAGTAAATATCATTGCTGCTTTGGGCTGCTTTGGAGGAGGCCACGGATATGGGGAAGGTAGATCCGGGGTGCAGGGGTGGGTAGGGAGGCTGGGGGCCCCAGTGATTCAGTACAATCCAGGGATGCAATGCAGGCTTGTGTAGTCTTTGTGCCTGAACGTTTCTCCATGTGTAGAAAAAACACAATATTTGCTGCAATTTTTCACAAGTGTATGGTACCCTTCTGGAGGCTGTTGGGACAGCCGGTCGCAAGGGTGTTAAGGCCCTGGAGAAGGGGGCCGTTTGGCTTATACCTCCTTACAGTGGAGTGAGCAGTGGTGGGACGGCCTCTGGACTTCGTCCATGGGGGTGGCGGGGCAGGAGGAGATTTGCGGAGAGTCCCCTGCAAGTCCCGTAAGAGTGAAAGCTGGGGCGCCACGTGTTAGGAAAGCAGAGGAAAGATCGGACGCCGTCCATTGTTCCTAGGCCTGTGTTCGGTCTTTTTCCACTTCCATCTGGTTTCCTCCTTCCCGGGGCTTCATGGCGGCACTTACCTGGATGGGTCAGTAGGAGGGAAGAAGGCCAGACTGGCCCTGCTCAGCGGCGCTCACGGGCGGAGGAGAAGGCAGAGCCAGCCGGGAGAGGGGTGCAAGACCAGGGAGGTTGGGTCAGGGGAGGAGGGTGGGGAGAGAGGGGTGAGGCCCCGAAGGCCTGTTGGAGGGCAGCCCTGCCTCCCTGGGTCCTCGGCAGCCCCGCTTTGCAGACAGGGTACCAGCCTCCTGGTGTGTGTCGTAGACTTTGTCCGCGTAGTGTGATGCATGAACTTTGTGAGGTTAAGCCGTGGTGGTGTGCCAGGACATCCGACCCATATATATAAAGATAAATATATATATATATGTATGTAAATTATAGCACTGGGGGCCCGCGCTGCCCTGCTGGACCAAGCAAAAGTAAGCCTTTTGGTTTGGGTATTATGTTTCGTTTCGTTACTTGTTTGTTTTTGTGGCTTGTCTTCTGTGGTGACAGCGCAAGTGCCAGTCCTGTTGCTCTGTATTACAGAATCTGTGTTTTTAATTAATTGACGTTCTAGTTCATGTCTACCTCAGCACCTCCTCTTAGCCTAATTTTAGGAGGCTGCCCAATTTTGTTTCTTCAATTTTACCGGTTACTTTTTTTTTTTTTTTTTTTGTACAAATCTCTCTCTCCCCCACCGCCCTCCCCTTCCCTTCTCGGCCCCCCACCCCCGTCCCCTTCCCCCGCTCCCCTGCCCCCGCCCAGCCCCAGCCCTGCTTGCCAGCCCCTACGTGGTCTAGTCCCCGTTCACCCAATGTCAGTGCGGTCCTGGTCGCAGCTTTCCGCATCTGCCTTCGTTCCGTGTAGATCGATGCGTTTCTTTGTAATTTCAGTGTTTCTGACAAGACTTAAAAAGGAAAAAAAGAAAAAGAAAAAAATGAATTTACTGCTGCAGGTTTTTTTCTCTCTCCATGTGTCACTAAGTGAAGTTTGTGCCTTCTATAGCAAAGAGAATATTTTTTACATCCTACTAACAGTAGATTTTTTTGTAGTGAACATTTTTTGTATT